AATACTACCAAAAGCATTGTATAAATTCAATGCAATCCCTATAAGGATACCCATGACATTCTTCAAAGAAATGGAGCAAACACTCCTGAAATTTATATGGAACAATAAGCCCCCACGAATAGCTAAAGCAATTCTTGGGAAAAAGAAAATGGGAGGAATCAACCTCCCGAACTTCAAACTGTACTACAAAGCAGTAATAATTAAAACAGCATGGTACTGGAACAAAGGCAGAACTGCAGACCAATGGAACAGGGTTGAATACACTGACATCTCTCCTCAATCATATGCTCATCTAATCTTTGATAAAGGTGCAAGTAATGTGAAGTGGAGTAAGGAAAGCCTCTTTAATAAATTGTGTTGGCATCACTGGATGGCTACATGCAAAAAAATAGGCTCAGAACTCTGCCTAACACCATGTACAAAAGTAAGATCAAAATGGATTAAAGACCTCAACATCAGACCAGAAACCATAAGGTACATTGAAGATAAAGTTGGCAAAACCCTCCATGACATTGAAGCTAATGGTATCTTCAAAGATGCCACGCCACTGGCCGAGCAAGTGAAAACAGAGATAGATAAATGGGACTATCTTAAACTAAGAAGCTTCTGCACCTCCAAAGAAACAGTGACCAAAATACAAAGACAGTCTACAGAATGGGAAAGGATATTCACCGAATACACATCTGACAAGGGGTTGATATCCAGGATATACAAAATACTGGTTAAACTCCACAAGAAGAAAACATCCAACCCCATCCAAAAATGGGGCAATGAAATGAACAGAAACTTTCTCAAAGAAGAAATCCGAATGGCAAAAAAGCACCTGAGAAAATGCTCTACATCATTAATCATCAGGGAGATGCAGATCAAAACCACAATGAGATACCATCTCACACCTCAGAGACTAGCCCACATTCAAAAGAACAAAAGCAACCGATGCTGGCGTGGATGTGGCGAGAAAGGGACACTCCTTCACTGTTGGTGGGAATGTCCACTGGTTCAGCCCTTCTGGAAAACAGTATGGACGATTCTCAAAAAATTAGAAATTGAGCTCCCATTTGACCCAGCAATACCACTCCTGGGAATATATCCCAGAGAGGCAAAAATGTATAATCGAAGTGACATCTGCACTTGTTTGTTCATTGCAGCACTCTTTACAATAGCCAGAAACTGGAAGAAACCCGAGTGCCCAAGAACAGATGACTGGTTAAAGAAACTTTGGTACATCTACACAATGGAGTACTATGTAGCTGTTAGAAAAGATGAAGTCATAAAATTTACATACAAGTGGTACAATATGGAAAGTATCATGCTAAGCGAAATGAGTCAGAAAGAGAGGGATAGACATAGAAAGATTGCATTCATCTGGGGGATATAAAGTAACAAAGTATGAGATTAATACCCAAGAATAGCTGAGATCAGCACCAGGAGGATTACTCCATAACTTAGAGGCCAGCCGGGTATCCTAGAGGAAAGGGCAGTTCAGATAGAGAAGGGAGCACCAAATAAAGGATGTTTGGAGGATCCTCCCAGGAGGGGAGATGCATGTCGAAAGTAGACTATGGACTGAACATGTTTGCCACTCAATGCCTCTTTTGCAGACCACAACACCCAAAAGGAGAGAGAGAACACAGGGGATTGCCCTGCCACAGAGACAGGGGGGATGGGGGGATGGGGGTGGGAGGGATATTATCCATGGTGGTGGAAAATGGGCACTGGTGGAGGGATGGGTATCTGATCATTGTATAATTGAAACCAAAGCACAAAAAATTGTAAATCTACAACTTTAAAAAAAATAAAATACAATAAAGGGGGAAAAAAAAAAGAAAAGAAAAATACAAGTTTGTATCCCTGATGAACACGGATGTGAAGATTCTCAACAAAATACTAGAAAATAGAATTCAACAACTCATCAAAAAGATCATACAACATGACCATGTGGGATTCATCCGGGGATGCCAGGATGGTTTGATATTCGGAAATCAATCAACATAATCCATCATATCAACAAAAGAAAAGATAAAAACAATATGATCATATCAATAGATGCAGAGAAAGCATTGGGCAAGATCCAGCACCCGTTTATGATGAAAACCCCTCTCCAAAATGGGTATGGAGGGGACTTTCCTAAATATAGTTAAAGCCATTTACCACAAGCCTATAGCAAGCACCATCCTCAATGGGGAAAAACTGAGAGCCTTCCCTCTGACACCAGGGATGAGTCAAAGATGCCCAATCTCTCCACTTCTGTTCAATATACTACTGCAAGTACTTGCTATAGCGGTTAGGCAAGAAAAAGATATTTAGGGCATTCAGGTAGAAAAAAAGAAATTACGCTCTCACTATTCGCAGAGATGACACTATACTTAGATAACCCAAAAACCTCTACCAAGAAACTCCTAAAAACAATAGACTTGTATCATAAAGTTGCAGGCTATAGAATGAATACCCAAAAGTCCATGGTTTTTCTAATTTTCAAATAGTGAAAGAGGAGAAAGTGACCTGAAGAAAACAATCCCGTTCACAACTGTGCCCCAGAAAATCAAATACTTAGGTATCAACTTAACTAAGGAAGTAAAAGACCTGTAAAAAAACTACAAAATGCTACTTCAGGAAATAAAAGAGGACAAGAGAAAATGGAAAGACATCCCCTGCTCATGGATCAGGAGAATTAACATTGTCAAAATGACAATACTTCCCAAACCATTGTACAAATTCAATCTATCACTATAATGATACCCATGAAATTCTTCAAAGAAATGGAGCAAACACTCCTGCTATTCATATGGAACAACAAACACACAGAAATAGTTAAAGCAATTCTTGGTAAAAATAAAATGGAAGGAATCAACTTCCCTAAAATCAAACTCTACCACAAAGCAGTGATAATTAAAACAGCATGGTACAGGAACAAAGGCAGAGCTGCAGACCAATGGAACAGGGTTGAATATACTGACATCTACCCCCAAACATATGATCATCAAATCTTTGATAAGGGAGAAAAAAAAATAAAGTAGATCAAGGAAAGCCTCTAACAAATTGTGCTGGCAAAACTTAACAGCTACATGGTTTAAAAAATGGACTCAGATCTCTACCAAACACCATGTACAAAAGTAAAATCAAAATGGATTAAAGACCTCAACATCAGACCAGAATCCATAAGGTACATTGAAGACAAGGCTGGCAAAACCCTCCACCGAATTGAAGCTAACGGTATCTTCAAAGATGTCATGCCACTGGCCAAGCAAGCGAAAACAGAGATAGACAAATGGGATTATCTTAAACTAAAAAGCCTCTGCACCTCAAAAGAGACAGCGACCATAATACAAAGACTGTCTACAGAATGAGAAAGGATATTCACCCAATACCCATCCTACAAGGGGTTGATATCTATGATATACAAAGTACTGGTTGAACTCCACAAGAAGACAAGATCCAACCCCATCAAATAACGGGGCAACAAAATGAACAGAAATATTCTCAAAGAAGAAATCCGAATGGCAAAAAAGGCACATGAGAAAATGCTCTACATCATTCATCATCAGGAAGATGCAGATCAAAACAACAATGAGATGTCATGTCACACCATAGAGACTGGCCCTCATCCAAGAGAACAAAAGCAACCAGTGTTGGCCCAGATGTGGCAAGAAGGGGACCCTTCTTCACTGCTGGTGGGAATGCCGACTAGTTCAGCCCTTTTGGAAAACAGGATGGACGATTCTCAAAAATTAGAAATTGAGTTCCCATTTGACTCAACAATACCACTTCTGGGAATATATCCCGAAGAGGCAAAATAGTACAGTCAAAATGACCTCTGCACTTCTTTGTTCATTGGTGCACTATTCACAATAGGCAAAATCTGGAAAAAACCTGAGTTCCCGAGAACAGATGACTGGTTAAAGAAACATTGGTACATCTACACAATGGAGTACTATGCAGCTGTTAGAAAATATGAAGTCTTGAAATTTACATACAAGTGGTACTACTTGCAAAGTATCATGCTAAGTGAAATGAGACAGAAAGAGAGGGACAGAAATAGAAAGATTGCATTCATCTGAGGAATATAAAGTAACAAAATAGGAGACTAACACCCAAGAATAGCCAAGATAAGTGTACCAGGAGGTTCACTCCATGGCTTGGAGGCCAGCTGCACATGCTAGGGGAAAAGACAGTTCAGATAGAGAAGGGAGCACCAATTAAAGGTTGTTGGAGGATCCTCCCAGGATGGGAGATGCATGCTGAAAGTAGACTATAGACCTAACATGATTGCCACTCAATGCCTCTTTTTGCAAACCACAGAACCCAAAATAAGAAAGAGAACAAAAGGGAATGCCCTGCCTCAGAGGTGGGGTGGAATGAGGGGGGATATGTGGGTGGGAGGGATACTGGGATCATTGGGGGTGGAGAATGGGCACTGGATAAGGGATGGGTACTCGATCATTTTATAACTGAAATACAAGCACTAAAATTTCTAAGTCTACAAATGTAAAAAAAATAGTAATAAAAAAGATAGAATTAGTAAATATCTTTGAATATTCTCTCAGGGCTTTTCATTAAATTGCTTACATGTACTCTATTATTACATTTTCAAAGTATCTACCAGAGGTATAATTCCTTATGTTACATTTAGCAAACTCAAAAGTCACCTGTCTAATTAGGCCTTTAATCATGAAATATTTTTTATTTAGAGGGAAAATGTCTCTGCAGGTAATGGATGTACTCATAACAAGTATTGTTTTTTAATAAAAATTCTGATAAAAGAAAAGATAGGGGATGGAACGATAGCACGGTGGCTAGGGCATTTGCCTTGCATGTGGCCAATCCAGGTTCGATTCTCAGCATCACATATGGTCTTCCAGCACTGCCAGGATTAAATCCTGAGTACAAAGCCAGAAGGAACCCCTGTGTTTCAGTTGGTGTGACCCAAAAAAGCAAAAAGAAAGAAAGAAAGAAAGAAAGAAAGAAAGAAAGAAAGAAAGAAAGAAAAGAGAAAGACAAACCTTGAACCGAAAACGATTTGGTGTCTGACTTTGGGTTGTGAGGAGAAGACTGTTAATATCATCACCAAATATTGTAGGTGCAGATCTTCTTTTTAAATGAGCTTCAACATCTTAAAGAGATAAAAAAAAATCTGTAGTAACTGATTACTTTAATCATAATTATCAATAGTTATTATTGTCTTTTACATTTTATAACTGAATTGGCTTCACTACAAATAAGTTAATTTTTATTTTCAAGATATTCTGAAAAAAATCAATGTAACCAATTAGAGTATTCTTTTGTTTGTTTCTTTGAAGCCACACCTGGCTTCATTCAGAACATTATTCTGGCTCTGACCATCAGAAAATGACCCCTGGTGGTCTCTGAGGATCATACAGGGTGCCAAGGATGGACCCCGATTGAGTGACAAGAGCCCTAGTTATGGTTCTCTGTCTTCGGCCCCTAATTTGAACATTCTAATGTATGTACTTATAGTTTGATTGTATTTAGTTTTTCCAAGAAAAAAATTTCAAGTTTTCTAGTCTACTTAAAATTTGATAGATCACCATGACAGGAACACTAAATTTAGATATTTATTGGTTTAGTGGTCCCACTCAGTGTTGTTAAGCGCTCAGGGGTCACTCCTGTCGGACTCAGACTCTAGGTACCAGGGAGAATCAAAGCCAGTGAGATATGGTCCCCTGAGCCCACCGTGAGTGATCCCTGAACCCAACAGGATGTTCCACAAAGACCAAAAACAAAGCAAAACAAACAGAACAAAAGTACAAAACGGGGCAGTATCAGTTCCACCTAAGGTGAGCATTTTACCCACTCTAGATCTTACAGAACGGATCAATTCTTACCTATATTTGGTTTTGAGATTTTTTCAACATCATAGCCATGATTTTCTGCGAAGAAGCACCAGGGAATAATGGAATCATTCACGGGCTTCCAGCAACAGCCTCGCTGTGCACAAATTGCCTAAAAAAGTTTGAAGAAATGATATGTTTCTGTTAGTCTGTGTTTGGGGAAAGGGGAGTTCTAGTAACACCAGGCTGTGTTACAGGCTTTATCCTGGCTCTCTTCTAGAGGCTTACTACTGCTTCTATTCTCAGGAATCTCTGCAGGAAATGTTTAGGTGACCACATTGGTAATATGAATCAGAAACAGACTAACTTCTGCAAAGTCAGAACCTTACCCCCTGTACTATGGTTCTAGGACATCAGTATCTTTGTTTAAACATCCATTTATTCCAATAAGTTCTAGAGCAAATTCTCTGTTATTTTTTAAAGAACCCCTATGTAGTATTTTTTATAAAACTATAAATGTAAGTTTTCAAGGGAGAAAAACAAAGTGTATATATTTCTGCACCACTGTCCATAAAACCCAAATACCTACTTCCCCATCTGCCTTGGTAACCTCAGTTCTGACTTAAGAGTCTTAAGAATTTGTCTTGCTTAGACAATGTCTATCAATTTTCTTGGTTTCTTTATATTCTATACATAATGACTGAGATCATTAAATTATTTTTATTTTCCTTTCTGACTACCTAAATATATTTAAATGGCCCTTATTCCTTTAATTTAATTTAATTTTTATTTGGTTTTGGGTCCCACCCAGTTGTGCTCAGGGCTTACTCCTGATTCTGTGTGTGGGGATCACTCCTGGTAGTACTCTGGGAACCATATGGAGTAACCTGAATCTAACCCAGGTTGGCTGTGTGCAAGGCTATCTTTACTATAACTCCAGTCCCTCCTTTACTATGAGAATTAGTAGAGATAAATAAAACATCTTACTTTCCTAGTGTCATATAAACATAAAATATAGATAGCGGTTATACTGATCAAACCATAAGAAGCAATTCTGTGTTAAAACCGCTGAGAAAGAATAATAGAGTATTCATTAGGCAACTTCAAGAGGAAGTAATAAGTACTATGACTGTACCTACCTACCATACTATAACTCTAGCCTCTTTTCATTCCAATTAACTGCAAGAAATATCTTAAAGTATATTTCATATGACAAATTAAAATAATTCTACTCTATCAGAGTTTGATACTGTCAGCTTAATTTTTGAATGCACATATCAACACATACTACTGTTGGCTCATATGCTTTAAAAGTTACTATTCTATGGATACTAATATTATGTAAGGTATCTATTATTTAAGGTATCTATTCCTAGCTAATCAGTAGATTGATATGATATGCAATTATTTAACTTATTTTAACTAGTTATGTGTCAGGTGTTGCAACATTTTTCTGCTGTTACACATTTAATAAACAAAAAACCTAATAAACAAAACAAAGTGAATTCTTAATTTTCTGCTGTCTATGGAAATATTTTGTGAAGGTAAAAAAATATTTTATATGAAACATTTACTGACATGGGGATACCATGTATGAACTTAGCTACAACTAAAATTTACTTCATATGAAAATGTACTCATCTTTTTAAACCCATATTTTAACTAGACTATCTTAAACGATTTAAAATCTCTATGATGTTCTGTAGCTGATGATATATAACACTATATAGAGAGAAAATTATATATATCAGCTTCTTTCTCTTTTAACAGTAAATAAAAATGCTACCATACACACATACAAAACATGTACATGTATATTGAAAATTGTAATAAATTGAATATATTTTAGGAGGGTCACTAGCTATTAAAATTTAAAATGTTTGAGGAATATTTTTGCGTAGATATTTTTTTAATTCTCCTAGAAATACTTAAAATAAAAGAACTGAATCAAATTTTCCATTTATATTTGAGGGGTATACAACTGGCATTTCTTTTTTTAATTAAATATTATAAATTTAATTAATATAACCTGCAGTGACCACCTATAATAATATTACCATATTTCATAACAGTTTCATTTTCTACAAGTTCTCATTCCATTTCATTACAATCGCATGAGATATATTTGCATCACTAGAGAAAACAGATGCTTATTCCTGAACCTATACTCAGTGATCATTCCACGTGTGGCTCGAGGAACCAGATGGGTGCAAGGAATAGAACTCAGATCAGCCATGTGCAAGGCAAGCACCATACTTGCTGTACTATCTCTTTGACCTTTAAGGTCAAAGATTTTGTTAGAGGTTGTTACAAAATCAAAAAGCAAAATAAGGCATATGTATAATATATAGAGGTAGAAAGATCATATATAAAAATAGAAAAGTATTATTTTTACAATGAGAGAATATCTAAAATATATCATGTGATCTTTATTAATCTTTAAAATTTTAATATATTTTAATATATTTAAAATTGTAGCTACAAAGTATCATGTTACATAAGCCTTCTCTGAAGACTATTATTTTTATTCTTTGCTTTATCTATACATCTTTTTTTCATGAGTTTTCATCTTTTATGAAATTCTGACACTGGATTTTACATTCTAATACAAAATTATATCATTTATCTAATTACATCTGCAAAGAATCTACTCTCAAACATATAGCATCTTCAGAATTCATGTGAAGATGAACTGTGAAAAAAATTGCTTTTGTAAAAATTACTTAGCTCGTGGTATTTTATTATAGAATCACAAGATAACTAATATGGGTATAGTATAGATATTTCTTACATTAATATTGTAAATTAATATTTTTTCTTAAATAAAAATATATTAACTTAAATATATAAACTTGGAGGGGGGCGGGTTGAGTTTCTCTCCCCGCCCCAACCAGAGCTCGGGCAGCCAAAGACCTCCAGAACCAGCCACCACCATGCTGAGACCACTCTCCACACGCATGAAGGTACCGCAGAGGAACAAAGGCATGCGGGTCCCGGGTCTGAGATCTCCAAGCCTGCTCGGATCGGGGCTGAGCATCCTCCACCCAGATCCTCCATCTTTCAGTAGGCAGCGGTCACACCCACCAACTGGCCCCCTGGCGCCATGTAATCCCATCAATGGCCAAGACTCAGAGATTATAAAACCCAGCTCCCGGAAGCGCATGGCTGTATTGTGACATCTTATTGTCTCATTCCAGCTTTGGACAAACTAGCAGGCTACCAAATATAACCTGCCTACACGGCAGAGTCTGGCAAACTCCCCGTGGCATACCCAATATGCCAAATACCAGTAACAATGATGAGTCTCATTCTCCTAAGCCTGAAAGAGCCTTGAATATGGCACTTTTTAAAAATCTCAGGGCTAGGACGAAGGAGACGTTACTGGGGCCTGCTCGAGGCAATCGACGAACAGGATGGTTGATGTTTATTTTGTAAGCATGCTCTAGCAATATAACATTTAATACTAATAGCAGGCAACAAAATCTAAAATCATAGGTTTTAGGCATTTGGATTTGATAATTACAAGATTTTAATTTTCCTACTAGACTTAATTCAGTATTTTTTACATCTTGTCTTTGAACAATATTAATAAAAGATATGTTACATATACATAAGGAAATTGCAAAGTATAAATGTGGGTGCATAATCATTGATCTATGTGTCCATACAGTTTAAGACCAAAGAACAGTCACCTTGAGAGTTACATAAATTCTTAAAGTTATTCTTAGTTTTCTCTATTTAATTTTCTCTGAATATTAATACCCAGTTTTCAAAAAAAATATGTTACTTTTTTATTTTCCTCAAGAAAGTTAATATACAACACTAATGAGTAAAGGGACAAATATGACAATAATAGTTGAAAACGATAACTCTGGACAAGAGCTGAGTGTTGAGAGTAGGTAAAGGGATATACATGATAACCTTTCAGCATCTGTATTATAAACTAGAATGCCCCAAAGGCAAGAAAGAGAGGGAGATAGAGACAGAGAGAACGTCAGAGACAGAGAAGGAAAATGCCTGCATAGATGCCAGGGGCAGGAGTGCAGTGGCAAGAAAACTGGGAACATTGGTGGTGGGAAATGTGTACTGGTGAAGGAACAGTGTTGAAATATTATATGACTACAAACCAATTATGAACAATTTTGTAACTGTGTATCTCATTGTGACTCAAAAAAATAAAGTAAAATATTCTAATGAAATATAGATGCTATCTTTCAAATGTCTATATAGTCAAATATAAGTTTGATTTTACAGTAGATTTGTAGGTGTAGAATTTTCTGACAATTAGTAAAATGAATATAAACAACTTATTGAACATTGAACTTATTGAACTTATTGAACTTATTGAACATTGAACAGGGCTGGAGCGATAGCACAGCAGGTAGGGCGTTCGCCTTACAAGCGGCCAACATGGCCGACCCGAGTTCGATTCCTCCGCCCCTCTCGGAGAGCCCGGCAAGCTACCGAGAGTATTCGATATGCCAGACACAGTAACAACAAAGTCTCCAATGGAGACGTTACTAGGCCCGCTCGAGCAAATCGACGATCAACGGGAGGGCCTTTACCTTTACCTTTACCTTTACTGAACATAAAATTTAATAAATTTTTAAGTTTGAATTGAACAGAGGTAAAGCAATGTGAATTTAATAATCTATTATCTCTTATTCATATGAAGTACAGTAAAAATAGAAATATAGTTTACTTGATGAATGCTCTTTTAACATATGCAAGTGATTCAACATTGATAATCTTAATTATTTTTATAATTTCACAGTAGCTCTAATAATAAAATATTAATGACTTATGTTACAGACCTGTGTTGGAAATTGATCTGGAACACAATTTATTCTTTCATTATATCTATCATTTTGCTCAGTTGGACATTTTCCTAAAACAGCAGGTACCTCTGAAATAAAAAGTGAAAATAAGATATTATTTTTAAAAATTGTTCACTTGCTACGTATATTAAAACAAAACATGATCAAAATGAGAAATGGAAATATTTCATCTAGTAATGCACAACTTAATCCTAGCTTTTTTTTTATTTTAGTGAAACACCATGAGGTACAATAGTAGACTTACAAACTTTCATGCTTGGGTTTCAGTTATACAATGATCGAGTACCCATTCCTCCACCAGTGCCCATTCTCCACCACCAATGATACCAGTAGCCCTCCCAATCCTAGTTTTTAAAAGAAAGATTTTAAAAGAAAATATCTAAATTATACTATTGATTACACAGAAACCTGTTGACTGCTCTTTAAAAGAGCAAAATAAATTCACGTATCATCATGAGATAAGGGAGAAATTTACATCCAAAATAATTTTCAATTTGTAACCTATGGATTAAAAAAGGCGAAACGTGGAGAAATATGCATAGAAAAATAGAAAAAGTACATGGAAAAGAAGGGAAGAAGATTGGGTAAGGTGAACAAAAGAGAACATAGAGACACAGAAGAGACAATAGAGACCACAACACTGAACAACAGCAAACTCAGCATTACTATACAAGACCAATTGCCAAAGTTGGGTTGAAGGTTGGGGGAAGCCAAGACCAGAGGTGATATAAAGACACTGGTAGAAGGTCATGGACACTGGTAGTATTTGGGTATCATAATGCTGTATATCAATAACCTGAATGCTAACAATCTACTAGGCAAAAATGATTTAAAATATAAGTATTATTGAACAGAATAGCAAAGGAAAATACTCTTTGGAAAGAAGAATCTTGTAGAAGTCGGATGGGAGTAAGATAAAATCCATTTACTTCTATGGTACAAAGCATTCAAGTACTCAAGAAAAATGTAAGCAAAAATATTAGTAAAAAATTATTGAATCAGGCAGGTAGGTAGACAGGGACACTGTTCCCCCAATCACCATCCTGTCCCCTACCCCTGTACAACCTCCTCGGCCTCAACTCATCCGCAACCTCACCTGGCCCTCCACGGCAATGAATTCCTGAGAAGTAAAAGCAAATAGTCCCAAGGCTGAGAACTACCTTCCTCTGGACACAGGAACTAAGGCCTGGTCAGACCTTTACCTGGTGTCAGCACAGACCCAGAGATGCCTAGATTCCCCTCTGAGAGAAGCTCTAGCAGAACCAAAGCCCAGGAAAGGATTATCAAAAAAAGAGCAACAATTGCCCACAACTCTTGACAACAGCCCTAGCAAAGGACTCTTACCTAGGTAGAAAACCCTATATGGGGCAGCTTGGGAAAACCCTGATTTAAGCCAATTTGAACAAAGAAAGTGTGTGCAAATGCTACCGAAGACCATGTGCTGCCTGTGCCCATGTGTTGCTTTTAAGCCCAAATGGTTCTGAAGCGTATATTTGGCTGCAACTCCCATCTTAAGTTGTGCACTTTTATGCTTTCCTATCTAATGTGAAAAGTGTACTAGGTTCCTGTCCATTCTGGAGAACCTCTTGTTCTCTTTTGAGCACATCCTCCCCGTCTGCCCTGCCTCCCTATCTGCCCTCACCTTCCTGCCCCCCCCCCCCTTCTTGAGACTGATGCCTCTCTGCTTCAAATAAGGCACCCAGGGATCCAAGTCATATCATTATGATTGCTCGAGCGGGCCCAGCAATGTCTCCATTGGAGACTTTGTTGTTACTGTGTTTGGCATATCGAATACTCTCGGTAGCTTGCCGGGCTCTCCGAGAGGGGCGGAGGAATTGAACTCGGGTCGGCCATGTTGGCCGCTTGTAAGGCGAACGCCCTACCTGCTGTGCTATTGCTCCATTATGATTAACCTTAATAATTTGTAATAACTTTACTAATTTTAATTTGATCAAAAAAGCAGTAAGAATGAAGAAATGAATTAGATGAAACAGAGCACATCAACTCTAAATTGTCATAGATACTTAGAGAAGCATTTTATTAAAAACTCAAGTTTGTTTCACACTTCCTCTACCTTTTCAATCCCTCTAAATTTCTGAGAGTTGTTTCTTTTTTTAATGAGCTTAAAACAAAAAAAGTGTTAACATAAATTTACTACTCTACAGACGCAGGCAGAGAAATGAGATGGGACCTGAACTTTTGGGGGGAAAGAATGAAACAAAAGAGAAAATGCCTAGTTCAGAAGTAGCCTAAAGCCTAGAAGACAACATACTTCCTTTGCGATGCAAATAATGAACTTTTCAGAGATAGAAAAATTGATCCATCATCGAGATGCAGAAATAGAAATGCCACCCAAAGGATTGGTCCCTTAGAAAAGAAGCTAGAAGAGAAAGAGTGCAACACTAACACATGCCAGGCTATCTCACCCAGGGCACCTTGAAGAGGGCAGGGTGAGTCCCTCTTCCTGCACCAACAGAGCCCTGGGAGCCAAAAACCTTCAGAACCTAACCGCTGTCATACTCATAGCTGATCTTCACAGGCTCAGGAGGAGTCTCACGCAAGAGAATGAATCTGCTGTAAAATGCAGATATGTGGTTTTGGGATCAAAATCTCCACCGTCTCATGGAGCTGGAAATGGGCTACCCATCTACCCATCTCCCTGTACTTCCCAGAGCCTGGCTGTTACGTCTACAAACTGCTTCTGGTGTCATATAAGAAGCTCATTGGGGCTGGAGTGAAAGCACAGTGGGTAGGGTATTTGCCTTGCATGCGGCCGACCTGGGTTCTATTCCCAGCATCCCATATGGTCGCCCGAGCACCACCAGGAGTAATTCCTGAGTGAAGAGCCAGGAGTAACCCCTGTGCATCACCGGGTGTGATCCAAAATGAAAAAAAAAAAGAAGCTCATTAATGACCACAATCCAGAGACTCACAAATAAATCTAAGAAGAGAAAGAGAGCAACACCACACGGAGATGCCTGTACACCCCCAAAGCCATCATCCAGTTAAAAATTTAAACCTGTCTGTATCACCCTATTTAAAACTTTAGAATTCCTGGAGCACAAAACTGCATTTGCAGCTGCTTCTGTGCAACATCTCAAAATCTGCCTGACTGGTGTACCAAGAATAGCACACCACATTTGATGAGGTACAATGTAGAAGGCAGCCTATTTTGATAAACATACACATAAACACACACAAACAGAGCAACCTGTAACAACATGTTAGTAATTTTTTATATAAAGACTTAATGACTCCAGGGTGAGATACAACACTCTTGACATAGTTTCCTTAGGAAATTTTGGATAATTTTCAATGGATTATTCGTAACAAACAATACAAAATAACTTATCTAGTACACAACTTATTATTTAGTACACACTTTGGGAGCAGGTTTCAGTGATAATGAAAAAAATCAAAATAATGGTGTTGGGATGGTGTAATGGTGTTGGGATTGTTGTTGGAATATTAAATGTAATATGTTGTCGTGGACGACTTTAAAAATAATAAATAAATAAAACGTAAAAAAAAGAAAAGCTCATAAAAATCTTAAGTTCTTGAGAAAAAATGAGAGGATTCTCAAGAGTCCCAGATTGTTTTTCCTGTGGCAACACCCAAGTTAACTTTTACGCATGCAGAAAACTCTAGAGTAAGAGAATTTTGAGAATTTCTATATAACCTTCCAAAAGACAGTCTCTGCTTTTCCTCTTAGGAGAAATCATGTCCACATGACCTTGTAATTCTCTCTTCCTCTCACTTTACATCTACATACATTTCTTCCTGTGTAAGTTAATTTGCTTCATTATTTTGTCTCTTCCTGAAATTCTTTCCTGTGAGGAAAGCTATGGACCTGGAATGCCTATGCATTCCTTTTTCTAGGGAGCGTTTCCTCACTCCAGCCTGATCCCATGGTTCCCCAAGAACTCTGGTGGTAGAGACATGCCCCTCACTGCATAGAGCAAATGAATTTGAGGCTAAGCTTAATGGGGGCTAGCAGGATGTGACCATCTGTTCCATACTTGCATGCAGCAGAATGGCCAGTTACTGACACAGGGCAGTCATTTCTCTGGGTGCTCAATGGAGGTTGAACAGAAAGGAGGACACTCCTTTCTCATTTCTAATTCCTTGCTTTTCATAATACCAAGTGACCTGCAACATTTTGGACCATTTGCCTTCTTGAAGTTTTGCTATTGTTTAAGCAACACTGTGTGAGGACTTTTTCGTAACCACAAAGCCAATAGAGTACAATGGTGCTTCATGGAAATAACTGGAATAGAATATTTTGGAGAAATTATAGAACTTACCTGAGATCTTTCTTTTTGTTTCACTTCATAGATTACTTTCCAAAGTCAAGTATTTTAGTGTGTAAAACTATCTTAACTTTACTATAATATTTAGTTATTTTTTAACATTAATTACCTTCGACAGCAGGTGTATTAGTTGCTAATACAGCAACTAAAGCAATAGCTATAATAGTGACTATAGCAAAGAGGACACACAGAGTTATTTCTAATCCGGTAAGTTTCTTTTTTGCCATCTAAAAAGGAAAGAAAATACATTCTTAAAATATAAAATATATAACTACTATAATTCGCAATCAGTGATTGTGTTACTTTATCTATTTCTTATATTTTTTTTCACAAAGCAAATGGAGCAGCAGATAAAGCTTTCAGTTCATAATCCACAAGAATATACACAGACAAAAATGTAAACATCAACTTTAAGGAAAAATGTAATTTTTAATTAAAAGGAGTACATATTATAAAACTGGTTCAAGGAAATTAAGAATAGTATACTCCTAGACAAGTTTACTCTTGAAGAAATAAAACTATTATCTATGTCTTATTTTCCACTTTGCCTACAAGTCTCAGCATTAGTACACGTTTCTCATTTTATCTTTACTTTGCTTGGTTTGTAGATACAATGGATTGTCTTTTAGAGGGGACCAGCCCATGAGGGGATTGCAGTGCTCATTCTGTGCTCACCAGTTCTGCAGTTCATCCTCTTCCCCATTTACTTTCTATAAAGGCCTCCTATTTTGGGGGCCAGAGCCATATGACAACTGGTAGGGCATTAAGTGTAGTGTCTTAGTTCAAGGTTCACATTTGGCTGTGGTTTTATTAGCACATATTACAGGATGTATGTGAACATGTTAAGGGCTTGAGTATATCTTATCCTAGCGGTTTGAAAACCTATTTCTTTTGACCTGTCACTGTCACTGTGTCTCTCACTAGTTGGCCCGAAAGTGGCAGTAGAACAAACGTATGAAGCTTAAAATTATAATAGTACACTGATGGAAAAGACATTCCTTTCTTGTGTTTTTTATGTGATTTTATGTGCAATTTGATTCAGTGACTAGAGATTTAGTTTCCATGGTAAATGCTTAGATGAATTGATATTTATAGGAAGACATACCGATTCTGCTTTCAAAATATTTTAAGAACTTTACCTTTAAATGGATTCCTATCTACAAAAATTGTTTTGTCTTCCTAGTACAGTGCATGCTAATTAATTTTTAACAAATATTTTATTCTTATTAATTTAAATTTTAGTTCTTCCCATTTTCGTATCCAATTTAGTTCCAATCTATGTCTTAACTAAATACAATGGTCACTGTGAGTTTTCAACCTGCTCTTAGAGGCCATTTCCTTTTTCCATTTCACTATATCATAAAAAAACACAATTTTTTATTCATATTACCTGCATTGAGTTGATATTTATAATAGTAACAACTATGAAGGTCTCATGTAGACCTGAGTGTGACATCAAGTAAACCAAGAACAATTTTAAAATCATAACTTAATAAGATGTTTAGGGTCCCAAGATATAGCATGGCAGAAAGATGCTTGTCTTACAGGGAGTCAGCCGGAGCTGGTCCCTCATACCACATATGGTTCCTTTAGCCCTGATAGAAATGAGCCATAAGCACAGAATCAGGAGTAAGCTCTGACCACAAAAGGGATGGTTCAAATATCACACTCCAAAAGAAAAGAAAATGTCGAAAGACTATAATTTAAATTAGCATGTGATTTCGGTTACGTGTAAATTGTTTAATCATGTTCAATATTCAGAAGCATGATTGTAAGGTAAACAATAAGAGGTTTTACAATATAATATATATAGAAATAAAAGATTCTATTTGTTAGAAAAATCAGCATAAATAAGTGTACTAAAATTATATGATTCACATGAATAGTTATAAACAAAGAGTATTGCACTTGTTCATATGATGTAAGTAATAATTAAGTGACTATACTTTATATCATAATAATATAAAGGAAACAATTTTTTGAAAATTATACATTTATTTCATTTTTCTCTTTACCTTCACTTTATTAAAAGGTAGCATGATATGGCTAGTCAGTAAAGGACTTATGAGAAAATGTTAAACTTTTATATGTTGTAACATTCTACTTTATATATGTATTCTTTTCTAAAACAAAAAACCTTTAATCACATTTAGAATATTTCTTTGCTTTTAAATATTCAAACTATTATTCAATTTCTTCTATAGAGAACAAATAAACTAATTATGTAGTTATTTAAAAATTTTTAAAAAACAGATCATAAGAAGTTAGGTAAAGAAAATATTTTCATGCCTTAAAATTACTTTATAAATATTTTTTTCTGCTTTAGTATAAGGGTATGTGCATTTAAAATGCAGAGAAAAATGTAATATTATTGTGATTTTAAAGAACTTCACAGATACAAATATTGCCAACATAAAGGGGACACAAAATTATTTATAAACATGAAAGGAACAAAAAAATGATTTGTAAACTTACCTTATTGCATAACGTGTCCTATTAACTCTGGGATACCAAGTCAAGTAAGACTGTGCAACAGTTATGAAGCAGGAGGTCCTGCTTACCTATATAGTGAGCTATAAACGTTTATTGCATCTTTATCAGCCTCTCAAATTTATAGTCCTGTTCCACTTGCAATTGTAATGTTTGACCTTGAAGAGTTTGCTTAAATATATCTCTGTGAAACTAGGTTAATTAATCATTGTGCTCTCCGATAGTCTATGACAGCGTCATTAAAAATATAGTTTTTCAAAATTTTTATTTTTCTTCTTTTCAATGCTGCTTTAATAAATTTCATGACACCATAACGCATTTAAGAAATCTTTTTATTTTTCAGTCATAGCACTGATTTAAGGTAAAGGCCCTCCCATTGATCGTCAATTTGCTCGAGCGGGCCCAGTAACGTCTCCATTGGAGACTTTGTTGTTACTGTGTTTGGCATATTGAATACTCTCGGTAGTTTGCTGGGCTCTCCGAGAGCACTGATTTAATAATTTAAAATTTCATAGTATATGCTAAAAACTTTATTAAATATTATAGAACCAATTGGATTACTGATTTAAAGAAGTAGGTGTACTAAAAAAGAGTCTTGCTGTAAGATTACAGGCCTGAAACACAGAAGAAATAAGAGGTAACACACTTGTCTGAATACCATCAGTCTGGGTTAAAGTCCCTGGCAACACATTTGTTCTCCTGAGCACCACAAGGGTTCTGTCCTGAGATCCGAGTAAAGCATAGTCTCTGGCAACCACTAGGTGTGCCCCTACTCAACAGAGTGCAGTGTGGCTTGCTGGAGTCATAGTACAGTAAGCCTGTGCTTTCTCATAAATATGTACTTCTCTCTTTCTCCTCACATCTTTCTAAACAAATTTCAATAAAAACTATCATGCTTCACCAAAAATTATAATAATGAGAAGGCAGTTTACAAATTGCAAGCTGTGTTATATATAATTGACGAACTATATATAATAGACGAACTATTATATAACTGGCTTATTTTTAAAAATCCAGTCACTTTTACTACACTCAAAATGGAACTATCTCACCAACAGTTGGGAGGTCACTGAAAATAGTATGAGCTAACATAGATTATCATCATCATTGCCCCTTTACTTTTATAAAAATAGGTAATATATGAGTCCTGCACAGAATCTTAGAAGTATCTTTAAAAATAATTATATGTCTTTTTAAAAATTCAAACTAAATATGCATTTAAAGAGAAACAGTAAAAAATAGATGAATGAAATACGATAAGATATGGGAGAGATATAAGCAGAACTTTCATTATACAGCACACATCTGACAAATACGTATAAGTGGATAAGCTACTGATCCAGGGTTGCATATAGGGAGAGCAAGGCACTGCGTTTCGGAAAGTAATAAAAAGATCAAAAATAGAAATGTTACTCTATTACCAGCCCAAATCAAATTCAAAGAATAATTGGACATACTGTAGAGGTCTAGGAACTGAGGACTGATAAAGCTAAATAAGTTAAGGAGGCCAGAGGCAGCAGTACAGTGATAAGGGCATTTGACTTGCCCAGGTTCATTCCTGGTAATACATATGGTCTCCTGGGCACCATTAGGATGGATTCCTGAGATACAGCTGGGAGAAAGTCCTGAGAACTGCTGGGTACAGCCTCTCAGAAGTCAAATAAGCAAACAAATATTCTTTAGCTGTTGCCACCACCAGTATGCAAAAGGATAGCTCCCACTCCCTCGCAGAGAGGAGAAACTTCAGGAGGAACAAAGACTCTGATAAGAACACAAGGGGCTGAAGTGATAATGCAGTGGATAGGTGCTTGCCTTGCACGCTGCTGACCCGGAGTCGAAGTTTGGAACTCCATATGTTGCCTCAAGCCTGCCAGGAGTAATTCCTTACTGTAGAGGAGGAGTAACCCTGGAGCACTGCCGGTTTTGGCCCCAAACCAAAATAAATGTATAAATAAATGGACAAATAAAAGTAATATTAAAGAGATTTTTTAAAAGTTCAGAGTCATCTTTACCAAATCCTTACAAGAGGTTCTAACCTACAGATAACTAGAAACAGTTGTCATTAGGAGTAGCCTAAACAGACATCACCATACACAAACCAATAGGAAAAACCATGTAAAACCAATTTTGCAAAATAAATCAGCATACATTCTCATTCGAGGATTACGAGTATTCCAACTTGAGATGTATCGATCCTTTGTTTTACGGATTACTTTTTCTCACTCTCCTGTCATATTTCTTAAACAAAACAACTTTTTCCTAATTATCTGGCTCCTGAAATTCTTTTTTGCAAGTGTAAATAATTAATCTTGGAGATATGGGTGAAGGTAATGACTTTCATTTTTTTTCTAAGAGCAACTCCTGATTCCTACATGAGGTCTCACTTTTTTACAAGGTCTTGATCCTGTCTGAGAACTCCCCAAGATTTGGAAGGACGGTGGTAAGAAGTTTTGTCATGAGTGGATCAAGTGGACCTCAGGTGATTTGACAACTGCCTTATGCAATTAATGGACCCCAACGTCCAAAATTTAAAGGTATTCATAGCATATTTTTACAAGTGCTTACCAATCTTGCCTTCTCTCGAAAACCCTTTCTCAGAAAGAAAGGTAGTTCAGCAGGACGGCAATAACACCAGTATTTATTTTATTATTTTTATAATAAAAAGTGCCACCACCTTGACTTCCCACAACTCTCACCAACATCATGGTGATTAATAATGGCAATAAAAAGTATTAGG